GGGGGGGGGGGCGGCTGAGGAGCCCCGGGGAGGCAGAGCCATGGCCTGACGGGCGCTGCGCTCCCACCTGCGAGCTCCGCTCCTGTCCCCGTCCCAGAGCAGGACTCTGTCCCGCCCGGCTCTGTCCCTCCGGGCTCTGTTGGTCTGTCCCTCCCGGCTCTGTCCCTCCCGCCGCCGCCAGGGCCGCGTCCCGGGCGTTGCCGCGGCAACGGCTCCGGCCGCGCGCGGGGCGGGGCGGGCCCGGCGCGTTCCCTTCCGGGTCGGAGGGCGCTGCACGAGGCCGCGGCAGGTGAGGGCCGGCGGGGCCGCCCCGGGCACGGCCCGGCCGGGATGCGCCGCTCCCGGGGAGCCCCCCCGGGCAGGACGGGCGGGGACGGGGTCAGGAGCGGGGCGGGGCGCGGGAGGGACCCCCCTTGGCCGCGGTGTGGGGGTGGGTCGGTGGGCGCAGGGGCTGCCGCGGCTCCGGGAGGAGGCCCTGACAGGCAGGGATTGGTAAAACGCTGCTTACCAGACTTAGGTTTCCTGTAAAGGATTTTGACAGGAGGCCTTGCAAGCGGCGCTTATAGAAATCCCCAGGGATTAATTTTTTATTAAAAGATGGGAAAACAAGTAGGGATAAACGGGTTTCTCAGCAAAGGCGGGAAGTGTCACCAAGCGGGTGCCAGAGGCTTCTCTGGTGTGATCTGTTGGTCGGTGCGAGTGTCCCGAGAGAGGAGACGGAGGGCAAGGATGAGAAATCGCAGACAGAAGCAGATTTAAGGTAATAACTCGGGTGCCTTGAAAGGAACCTGTAGTGCTGAGTGGGCAGTAAAGTGATGTGAAGTTCAGTGTTAAATAAGTGAAAAGTCGAAGGGATCTGGAAAACAGTCTTAACTGTACATCTGTCTATGTGTATGCATGTATATATATATATGTATATGTTTTGCCATTTAGGAAAGATTTGTAGAGGGTAGGTATTACTATAAAGATGTCATGCTCTGTCAAAAGGAAGAAACAAATAGAAAGTGACCAACTGACTAGGACAACTTATGCTAAAGAACAGGACAAAAAAATCACCCCAATAGACAATATTTTCTGGGCTCTGTGCAGTTCTCTTTCCCCCATAACAGAAAGCAGACTGAAATTAGAAAGAGAGTGGCAGGGACAATGGGAGATACGGAATAGTTTCAGAATAAAGGGAAGCCAAATAGAGGAGGGCTTGTATCATCTCTCTGAAGCAGTTTACTAACATCTTCATTTCATTTTTAGAATGATAATAAAGAAAAAGAGAAAAGAATTTCATGAGGAACCTATACAGAAGAAGAAAAATGTGAAGACTGTCATTAAAATTGAGGAAGATGTTCCAACTGCCATTAAAATCAAGGACAGTGGCAGGCTTGAGACAAAAACAAAGATAAGGAAAAAGGTACAGTTTAAAGATGAATGTTTAGACCAATTACAACCAAAGAACAAGAAGAAGAAAAATAAGAAAAAGAAAGTTGGCTCCGAATTACTCAAAGAAGCACATTCAGAAAGCTTTGTGATTGTAAAAGGTCATCTGGATTCAGAACTTCAGGAGGAATCAGAGGAACAAATTAAAATTCTCAAAAAGAAGAAAAAAAAAGTCCCATGTCATTCATCCTTAGAGGATGATATTAAGAAAACTGAATTTTCTTTTAAAAAAACCAAAAAGGATAGTGCTTTGAATTTGGAACTGGATGGTGAGGTAACAAAGAAAAAAAAGAAGAAAGGCAGTTCTTCTTTTTCATTAGAGGACATCCAGAACAGTGAACAAAAGCAGTCTGAAAGAGTTTGTAAAAAGCTCCACAAATACATTTCACAAGAAGTAGCTTTTACAGGTGAAAACCATGACACACATAATGTCCAGAATGTTGGGGAGAGTTGTATGAGAAAAAAGAAGAGGAAGAAGAAGGATAAGTCTGACTCCTTTTTACCACTAGTAGATAATGAGGACAACATATCTGGAGTTCCTGGTAGGCCCATTGCATTAAGTGACTTCAGAAAAAGGAAGAAGCAGAATTCCTGGGAAATTACATTGACAAACAGGGAGGAAGAGGACACAACTGAGGACTCTGGGAGTATCAAAGAGACTAAGAAGAACAAGAACAGAAGCAAATGTGTTTCTTCCTTAACATGTGAGGATCAGCTAGACTGCAATCACAGCATTCCTGATAAGTATCTCTCGGCACAGCAAGAAGAAAAGCTGTCTGGAAAAAAGAGCAGGAAGAATTTCAAGGCTAGTAATGAAGTCACCAAGAAGAAAAAGAAAAAAAAGATTCACAAAGAGGAGGAGGAAACAACATATTCAAAAGTTGCTTTAAACAATGATAGTGCCTCTAAAAACCAAAAAATAAGACTACCAGAAAGAAATAAAAAGAACAAAGAGAGTGAAATGGAGCGAGCTGAGCGTGTAGCAGAGAATGCTGTAGATGGGGCATTATGCAGTAGTAATCACATGCTCTGTGACAGGAAAGGGAAAAAAAGAAAAGAAGTCCCACCACAGGACTTGGCTGAACAACCAGGTTCAGAAGCAAATACAAAAAAGACAAAGATCATTACAGAAGACACAGGGAATGAGTCGCTGGTAAGTTGTAAAGAGGAGGGCAGCTTTGCCCCCTCCTGCTAAGGAATCAAAAGCTTTTTAGGTACAGTTCCCTACTTTGCAGGCTGTTCTGCCTGATCAGAATATTTGAAGTCAGTGAGGGCCCCCACTATTGAGAAACAGGATCGGCTGATGTATTGATTTTAGTTGTGACACGTGGGAAAGTATCATTTAATGCCTGCTGCTGTAATCATGCAGTGTTTCAGTCATGAAAATGTAAATACTACAACTAACAGCAAGCATTGGCACAAAAAGAAAACGAGTGTGTGAAGTCATAAATGTTCTTCTTCGGTTGCTCTTCACAAAGTGGCAACACTCCTATAAAATAGGATTTTAGTACCACGTCATTTACCCTGAGCAGGTTGGTAACACTGGCAGCATCAGTGCATCTCACTGTGTTTGTTGGACTTTTCCTCGGGCTTTGCTGCTGTTAATGCTGGAATTACATAGTGTTACAAACGAGGGGAAAATTTAGCCAAAGCCTGTTGTCTAACTTGGAGAAAACTTTAGAGAAAATTCTAAGAATGCTAAATGTAGACTAGGCCTAGAGCATTGATGTATAAATTCTGATAGAAAACTAGAGACCTGAAGACATATTTTTAATTAAAAGAATAAATCTATGCAAGAAAATAAATAGATGTAAAAGCAGTACATTGTAAGTCATCAGGAGCTTGTTTTTGTAGTAATAGGAGACAGCATTCAGTTGTTTTTTATGAAAAACTCTGAATGGTTGGCTTGTTGAAAAGTCAAGCACTGGTTAATAAGGTATCAATGAAGATTTTTGTAAACTAAAGATAGAGCAGGCATAGCATGAGCTGCCTCCAGCACACTTCATGGTGTGCTTTGCTTTGGTGTGCACTTATGTGCAGTTTCTTCAAGTTCTGTGGAAACCTGGCAGCTGCCTGGTGCCTAATGCTAATAATTAAATATAGATTTATGTGAAGAACCAGATACAGGCGTTTTTCACAAGGGTTTGTGAGGGGAGTATGTGCTTATCAGTCATGAGGTGAGCAGATGTTTTGGGCTTTTAGCTTCGGTTTGTCCTTTTGACCTTTCAAAGGACAAGGTGGTTTTATTGCTGGGATATATTTTCTAATGAAGTTGACGTTGCCTTTTTGAGGCTGTTAGACATTATTTGGATTCTTGCAGCAGCTCACATTGTGCAGAGGCAAGATAAGCCTCACAATGACATGTAAACTTGCATGACCAGTTAAAATGAAAACCACAGCAAATACATTGCAAACAGTTGAGAAGAAGGGTGTAGGGTGATACCTGTTTTATTTCTCATTCCCATATGCACCTCTGTCCTTTAATAATAAAAAATGCTTAAGGGAAAGTCTCCTGAACATTGAGAAGTCTGGGTTAATCAGTTCTAGCGAAATCTAGTTCCTGCCAGGCCTAAAGACACTGCACTAATAAGAGGCTGATGATGTTGGTCTCGCATTTAACTGTGCCAAAGTCCTAAAACATCCCAGTCTACAGTGTGTCACACACTGCATGCCTTGAAAAATCCTCTGTGGGGCTTGTGCAGCAAGCAAAAGAGTGAGTTTTAAAGACAATGTGGAATGATACCCACTTAATATCAGTGATTGGTGTTTTTCCCACTGGATGCCATTACAGTGAATTTGGGCAGAGTGAAGAGGAGCAAGAAGTTGTTTGCCTGCAGGCAGCATAATCCTACCACGTGTGAAGGTGCTCCTTTTCCATGGAGTTGGGGGAAGCTTGGCAGACCTCTGTGGGATGGTTTTTTCCTCTCAGTAGCCTTCAGCTGGTCAGCAACCATGCTGGGAATTAGCAGGGATGGGGCTGCTCCCCCGTTCCTTGTCTGCCACTTGACCTTCCAGCTAAAAAAAAAAAAATATGCTGCAGTTGTTTGCGGAATCCTGTCACAACAGTTTTCCTGCTTGTTTTAATAGATCTGAAAAGACAGTACCAGGCCATCTAGAAGTAAACTGGGGATTGGTTTTGGTTTCTTCTTTTCCTCCAAGAGCATGAGCTCTCCTTACTGCAGACGGTGTTCTCTTATTTTTAATAGTGTGTGTATTGTACATGTGTGTGGTAAAATCAAAGGTAGCTTTGGAAAATGAGATAAATCATTCGTGGCTTTTAATAAAACTGTAAACCCTCAAAAAAGTAACAGCAGGTTCTGCTGACAGAAGTATGTTACAAATCTTTTCCTTGTCTTCATTTCCCTGGCTGTTTCATGCTTGGATTATTATGTTAACTGTATCAATAGATCTTCCCCTTGGCCACCTTTTCCAGGCTGGTCTAAAGCTTATGGCTCTAATTTACCACTATCCTGGACTTATTACTTATCCTGTTATACTGGGTGCCCAAAAATCTTATCCTAATTATAAATTTGGCAAAGAAAGGCTGAGGGCAATGATGTAGGAATGCCAGTCACTGGGAGCAAAAGTTGCTGAGGGGCTGCACTCTGTGGAAGAGTGATCAGGACATGGTTGCCTGTGGACTCTGCCACTGATTTACCTGCTGCCATCCGGCCCATCCAGTCCTTCTGGGGCTGCTCTGTCTCATCCCATCAGCTCCCTGTTCCTCGCTCTGAAATGTGGAACTGATGTGCTGTTTGCTGCCATTGTAGGAGACATTTGATGTGTGTGTCCTGCCTCTCCCTGTGCTCTTTCCAGACTGGGAGCTCCTTGGGGACCATCATCCACAAGTGAGCACAATGCAGCTGTCTCTTGATTGTCTCTTCTTTGTTTGTTTGTTGCAGAGAGACCTTTAATTATTTTACCTGCAATTTTTAAAATATTCTAACTTTTACTCTCTCTGTCCCTTACAATTAAACAAAACAGTTTAATTTGAAATTACTCTGCCTGCAAACATTACTGTGTGTGCCAGTGATGTTGGCAGATCTAATTTAATGTGTGAACTTAAAAAAATCCTCTATCTTCTTGGTTAAAAAAAAAAATCTCTTTCTTGGGGAGAAGGTTTCTCCATAGAAATACACAGACTTAATTGGCATTTTCAGCTTAGATCTGACTATTTCTTCTTGCCCCAGAATAGTCCTACTGATTGCTTAGTGTTTTAATTACTCTCATGGTAAGAGCTCTGTAAATTCTAATTAACCAGAATGGATAAAAATAACCATACAATCTTTTTTCCTGTTTTACAGGAACATCTAGATGGTGTAATTATTGTGCAGGAAAAAAAAGGAAACTGTGATGAAGTTAACATAGACAAGGTATGCTTTGTCTTAATTGTGTAAGATTGAAAGCAAGTCAGTATTTAATATATGCATAGGAATTGATACAAAAAAACTGATTTGTTGCTTCCCTAAATAAAGGTCTGCTTAAAATGTGCTTTACCTTCTGTGGGTTAAGTCCAAAATATACAGCTTCAGTCAATGACAGAAGTTCTAGGTAGCTTATTGGGTTAAATACAGGTTTCTTTGCCTCTCATCAGTGTTGGCAGTTTCAGCGTAGCTGTTGCCTGCAGTTAGAAAATCAGACATATCTGTTACAGCAAAATATTCATTTAACATACCACTAGAAAAATCACAGTTCTCGTGTTGAATGTGGGAAAGGATCACATGCAACTTTTTATTTATCCTTGCAAAATTCTGAAGATCACTAGTTATTTCATACATCCCTTTCTTTTCCATTGCGAATTAGTTGTCATTTCACACACAGAAGATAGTGTCTGATGCTGCGTATGTCATTGTTTTGCACACCAGGTGAGGCGGCAGGCTCTGCAAGAAGAAATCGATAGAGAATCTGGCAAAACAAAGGTTTTCAGTCCCAAAGTGGGACAGGTATGTATGAGCTTAGACCTGGATCTGGTGGAAATACTGGGTCCTAGAGCAAGTTCCTGGTAAAAACACTGTGCTCTTTTCTCTATGCGGCTCAGGTACGTGGCTTGGCACAACAGTCTTCCTTCTGACTGCAGAGTTAAGGTCACGCTGTAGAACAAGTTGGTACAATGCCAAGAGAGTCTGAGAGCTGACAGTGAACTTGGCATTGTACAGTGTTCCAATTCCCATCATCAGTCCTCAAAAGCAACATTTTCTCTGGTTCCTCTGGAGAATGAGCCATGACAAATTGCTACAGAAGCATTTTCTGCTTACTGTGAAGTACAAATAATTCCAGGCTATGGATATAGCAGTCACTGAAGTGTATCTTACTTCTTATCTGCAAGACTTTGCAGACATTCAGAAAGGGGCACATGTGGAAAGGTAAAGGGGGGTGACAACTGATAACACGTGTGATATTTACAGTCAGTACTCTCCTGGCATCCACATCTTTCCTCCACTTCTTTGAAAGATGATTCTTAATTCCTTGCTTTTGCATCCTGCTCAGCTTGCCTCCTGAGAGATTTACAGTTAGGTAGTGGAAACTGTTGCAGCAGTGTTTAGCAGGGTTAATAGGATTGAGGTGGAGAGAAAGCTTTGCTAGTAATCCGGGATTCTTAGTTGTTTTGCAAGACTGCCAGTGTGCCTAGAAAGCTGGAATATGCCTCAAACAAATGCCAGAAACAAGTTCTGTAGATGTAACATAGTGGGAGGCAGCCTGTGATAGCTCTGGAACTGCAACTGTCTAATAGTGTCTGAAGTCATTGAGAAAAATGACATCCTTGGCAGGGGATCTCAGTTCCTTGGTGCTGATCTGTCTCTGTTTAGTAGCATGCAGAAGAATAGAAGCTGTGAAAACTAATTCATCAGCTCCACAAAGAGTGAGCTGGAAATGCTTCAGCAAAAGCTGTGTGTGGTGCCTGCCAGCAACTCACATAAAAAAATGTACAGAGTTTGACAAGCCATGATTATATTTGCATCTGTGCAGATGCCTCCCATTCCAGAGGGAGGACTTTATATTTATCTGTATGTGACTTAAGTGTATCTGTATGTGTATCTGCATCTGTGTCACAGACTGGGCTTAGACAGCAACTTGCCTTTGTACAAGGTAAAAATACTGAAGTATTATGGGTAGCTCTCTTTTAATAGTAGGTATTCTGGCCTGTGATTGTGGATGATACTCCAGCCATGCATTTTTTTTAACTTAAAAAAGCGTGTTAGGGCTTGCCTGCAATATTGTGTAGCGTGCTGTGTGTCATGTTGGCTGGCTGCTGGAGAATGACTGTTTCATGCAAGCTACAACTGTTGAGTTGGAAGGATTTCAGGCTGACATAAACACACCACTAAATTCACATTTTTTCCTTTGATGTAACCAGCTTAGTCTATTTAATTAATAATCAGACATTCTTCCATTTAGTATCACCCCCAATTTTAAGGAAAAAATAGGGAGCAGCAATCCTGCTGAAATATTTATAAATGACTGCGTAGCTATTCCTTAGGAGTCAAATAAAATCCTTAGATAATGAAGCCTGTTCTTAGGTAAGCCAGAAGTTCATGAGCTTTGTAAATCATATGATTTATCTTGGGTTATCCACAAACAGCTGAAATATCATTTTACCTGGACATTGGCTCCTCAGAAAGGAGCCAGAATCCTCAGACAAAGGAAAAATCCTGAAGGGGTGAACTAGTTCTAAAAATAGTGAAAGGCAAATACAGTGAATACAAAGAAAACAGGAAACTGCAAGGGAGGGGAGGCTTTAAGAGCAGAGGCTTTTAGGTTTAGTCCTGTTGGATAAGGGTTTTTGCACCCTTGCAATATTAGTTGTAATTAGTGGGATGAGAATGCCAATGTTACTTAAAGTTTATGAGGCAGATTGAACACTGTCTCCAAAACTAACATAACAAAACACTGCTGAAAACAACAGCTCCCAAACTAGGCAATGGGAAAATGAAAAGATAAACATATGAAGTGACAGTGAAAGAGGATTAAGTCTGACAATTTTCTTAGAATAAGAGATGATTCTGGCTCTTTGAGCTAGGTGAAGAGAAGCAGAAAAGCCAAGGTTCCTGAAGAGGGAGGGAAAGGAGATTCTCAAAGCACATTAACCCCTCTCCAGGTTAAATGACCTGCACTGCTAGTGAAGATGCACTCACACAGAGTTAATGTCATTCTTTTACCACATCCTTTAAGAGGTACTGCCCGTGGAGTAACTGCTTCTTCCCAGCTTTGTCACCCTGTCAGGTTTTTGTAGCTGGTTCTGTTCTCATGGTACACAGCCAGAAATTATCTTCCTTGGTCTTGTTATTACTTACTTCTAGTGTTAACCTTGTTTTGCTTCACAGGATACAAAGTTTGGACAGTGGAGTACAGCTGCTTTTAAAAGTTCTGAGGAAGAAATGAAGTTTTTCAGACTGATGGGTGGCTTTAAAAAGGGCTCTGGGCCTATCCAAAATCTCTCAGCAACTACAAACAAACCGAACATGGCTCTGAACAGGGAAGGGCAGGAGAAGTTACAGCAGGCTCTGAAGATGGAGTTTGATAAAGCAATGGACTTGAAGCAACATAGAGGAATTGGTCTTGGATTTCAACCTATTGCCAACAAAAGAGGATACATAGACAAATATACATCTAGATCTATAAAATTTGAAGATTAAAACTCTGAAGTAATAAAAAGAATGAAAATTCAGCAGGCAATTTTTTTTTTTACTTTCCAGATCTTTTTACTTGAAATAAAATAATAAAATGTTTAAGAAATTTGATTTGTGAGGCACTTTTAGTTCAAGTTTCCAACTGCATACACTGGTGGAGCTGGGTCCTCATTTCAGCTAAACAGTAAGTTTTTGAAACCTTTAGCATGTTTCTTCTACAAGGCAAGGCACAGCCTCCTTCAAAGACTGAAGGTATGTGTGCCATGCCTGCAACTAGATTTTTTTTTTAATGCTGATTTAATAAACTTATTTTTAGCTACATCTTAGTGACTCAAAGGGATTTTAGTTTTCTGTAAAATCTTCACATTTTTACACTCAGTGAGTGGTACAAAGTGATGAGATGAAAAACATGCAACAAGAATGGTTTAATAATTTGGGTGGTATTTATTAGCAGCTTGCTAACTCCTTAAATATATGGTTCTGTCTGAACAGTTAGCCTTAACAAAATAAAACATTTTTGTGCAAAAATATATCTTAATATCTGTGTGAGGATTTAACTCATTAAGAATTTACCACTAAGCAAAAGCAGCAATAGATGCAAGGTTTCAGCATGGTTCCCTACCGTGGGAAAGAAATGGTGAAATTTTATTAGGAGTTATCAGTACATGTAACTAAATTCCACAAGGGTAAGGTGATAGATTTGTGTACACAAACTCCCCCAGAACACACAGATGAACTGCAAATTGCTTTATTCAGTGATGGAGTACTTTGCAAATATAGAGTACTTTGCATACATTTCCTTTTTCATTTGCAGGCAGCACTTAAAGATTCCTTCCATTTTACAAAACCCGGGACTAAAATGAAAACATAAACATGTCTGTGCAAATGTATTGTAGAAATTAGAACAATAACACCTCGGCCATTTTTCTCTTCTACTGGAACCAATAAAACAAATGCTGGCAGCATCCCAAAGCAGAGAGATTACTTAGTAGGATTATTATATTGAAATGCTGCTTTCTACACAGGAAAAACACTATTCTACAAGTGGGATGAAGTTTTGAGGCTGTGAATTCATTTGTGCAGATTATCTTCTTCCTTTTTTGTTAAAATTACAACAGATGAGATTTCACTACCACAGAGGTTCAAAATACTGTTTACTGAATGTAAATCGGCATTTATAATATTATGTTATGGTAAAACTGGAGACAGAAATTCAGGTTAAATTATTGCACTCAGTTTTTACCTTTACTGTGCCCAAGTAAATCTTTCACACTAAGTAAAAACACACTGAACTCCTCCAGTCAGAATCTAGATGAGTGATTTTTGGCCTTGGCTGCATGCTGTCTTGTACAGGTGCCTCCTTGGAAAAGAGACATCCATCAGGTCCTGGACTGCAGAGGAAGCCGAAGGGCCAGGTCTGCAAAGTGACTCATTTCAGGTTGTTGACTTCGCCTCTTGATGTATTCCAGTGTTTTCACCTGGGTTTGAAAAGAAAGGGATTGGGAGATTTTTAGTCTTTGTCTTTTCTCATTTCATAGGCCATCACTTCATCTTTATATACACACTGTCATGATTTTCACTGGCTGTGGGAGCACTTAGCATTTCTTACTTATTACCGATATCTGTCTTAAAGGCTCTGAAATGCCACTTTCCAAGCTTACACCATATATACCACAAAATAAAAATGCCATATTTCTCTTAGAGCTAGTTTTCTGTTCTGAAAAAAAGTTACAGCACCCAACACTTTCAGGTTCCTTAATGCTTGACACAGGATTAAAATTGCTAGAAAGATACAGATCACTTGAAATGAGAGAAGCTGCTTATTCATTAAGAAGCATTTAAAAAAAGAAGTTGTTGGGGTTTTAAGATAATTTTTTTGGGGGGGAAGAGAGCAACTTGTAAAGAGATTAGCTTTATTCAGATCAAGAAAATATTACTTTTTTCCAAATAAAGAGTGGCAAAAGATCTTAAGAATTCAAATTTTTCTGCATTATCTGTTTTCCTTACCATAGTTTTGGTGTCAGCAAAGCCATGTTTCTGAGCAAGATTCCAGAGATTGACTGAAAGCTGGTTTAGTTTGTTGTTTCGTAGATCCCCATGAGCTACAATAGTGTTAAAGAAATAGAGTGCCAACTGGCTCTGCCGCTTCAGGGTCTACAAGGAAACAAAAATATTCCCCTATTACCATATAATCATCCCCAAACATGCAACATAACCTCACTGGGTTCTCTAAACACTTAGAAGTGCAAAAGGCCCTCATTTTGTAACACACAGCAATAGTTACAAACAATACAGGCATAGTTTTCAAGTTCCATTCAAAATGCAACAAGTTATGATAATGAATCAATGTAAGTTGCTGGAAATGAAATAATTACACCAAACTCCTACATCTCATATCGCTTTGGCACAGCACATTATGTAGGTCTGACACATTTTTAACTCAAGACTCCCTACAATTGCATAGAAATCACCCTCCCACTAACCAGCCTTGCACTTGGAGCACCATAGCTCTATATATTTTAGAGAGACCACTATCATCAATCTAGATTAATGCAACTTCAGGCTTTTTTCCAGCAGTCTATTCTACATCTATTTATTTAAGCAAAAATGTTTTTTTTCCTGCTATTCTTTCACTGAAACTTCGATTATACCACCATATTTGCTCCATATTTGCAGCTACTTCCCCTAAAATTGCTGAGGAAGGCCCTTGAGGAGGACCCCTCCCTCATGGTACTCTGCCATGGAGGAGCACCAGCCTCTGTGGAGGAGTTCTGGGGCACAGACAATCCTGCACTAAGCTTACAGGGTGCTCCCACCCTGATTTGGAGTGAGTGGAAAACAGAAATAATTAAAATGCTATTGCAGGTTCTGCTGATTCCTATAGAGTAAGTTTTCACGGTTAAAAGGATGAATTATTGTTGGATGCATCTGAGCTGTAGTATTTGTTTATACTGCTCTGCTGCAGCTGTCCTTTGTTCTTTGCTCCAGAAAGCCCACTGACAAAGGCACAGCTCCATCTTACACAAACCACAGCAGAGTCCTAGTTTACAACACAACTGTCAGCTGAGCACCCCGATTAATGAACTTTATGCTGCACTTTACCCCTCTCAGTTCAGTTCATACTGGGGTAGCTGATGCACAGTGTTCAGAGACAAGGTTACAGGCAGCATGAGCCAGAGATTGGGGGAAGAGAAGTGCAGGGATCTCTGACCTGTGTGTTCCTGACACGGTACCGATGCAGCCATGCAGTCTCTGCCCTTTCCCTAAGGGACTGAAAGTAAATTAATTTCTCACTGCCAGCAGAAGAGAGGTCAGATGCTATTAATCAGAGAAATGGCACACACTGAGCTATCAGTCCTCCAGATAAAGACGGAAAAGGAGAAAGCCACGCTATGGAAGAACTGGCCAACTAGAAAAGAGGCCAAGCATGCCCCAAACTAGAAGCATCAGACTGCTACTGTACCTATGTGACACACTAGATCTGTACAGGCAGAAACAATCTGCCATAACATAAACTTCACACACGCAATGCCCAGACCTGCTCAAGGCCCCACAAAAAGTTCCCTGAGCACTTAATTAGTTACATGAAACTGCCATGAAGACAGCTCTTCCTCTAACAGTCACACCTACATTAGCAATTTCCATCTCAGTAGCTCCAAAACTTGTTCATAGGCTGAAACTACAGCCATCATTTGGGAGCACTGAAGTACTCCCTACCAGACACAGAAGTACAGTTGATCAATCTAGTCCAGTAATAGAAACACAGAGCAGAAATACAACTCAAAAAGTCAGTAAAAGGGAAAATAGCTATGCTTAAGTACTGTTGTATTTCTCTTAGGACTAAGACTCTTCAGGGAAAAACAGATCCAGGGTACAGCCAGGTAGTCCAGGTTTTGCCACATTTTTCATTATTCATTCATGCCACATCACCATGTATCCTGGATAAACAACATAACCTCTATTATCTAATTTTTTTTCCCATTGACCATCTAATACAAACTTCAAAGAGGTTCCTGGGAATTGCTTGGAGGTTTCCTCACGAGAAGTGAGGCAGTTCAGTTACTGGGCAGAATGCAAAAGCGGCAGTTCTCCAGTTTGAGTATTGACTAGCGAGGTTTTCCAGGCAACATCAATGCAAATACAAAATCTACTCTTCAAAATAAGGATGAAATTTTTTACTAATTTGAAACATAGGTACTTCAAAAAGGATCATCCTTCAAAAAGGACTCAGAAACAAGCTAAGAGAATGAGAGGCACACTAACTGCTGTTGTGTTGGGGCAGGTATAACAGTTAGGATTTTGGCACCTAGTCCTCAGTTACACAACACTAAGTGGAGAGAGAGGCAGGCTCAGGTATGCAGGAAATCCCACCACGACAGAAAATGAGCAAGGAGTGTCAGGCAAGGCTTCCATGATGATGAACAGGAATGTTTGTGTAACATGGCACTGACCTCCAACCCGAGGGATGCATCCATGCCAGCACACTGCCAAGCCTGGCAAGATTGAGTTGTGGGTGGCAGCCCAGCTCACAGGGTATTCACAGGCAGCAAGGAGAAAGCAACAGCTCAGCTATTTGGCAACCAAACACATCATGGGACTAGCAATTCCCACACCAAAAAGAACTGCCAGCCTTCTAGGCAGCACATTTTCCATAATCCTTGGGATAATGCTGATGACAATGAAACAAAGAACAAACTACATCAAGCCAGAACGTGACCCCCTTGTGTTCTCACCCCTCCACCAAAGAGCAGAGTAATGTCCAAATTTCATATAGCATAACAGAAAAAAAGCACAGTATTTCATACAATGGGCCATGTAACGTTCTGTTTCAAAAATTCTACCTCTTCTCAATTTAAAACACACCCCCACACAGAGAACTATGTCCAGCTCTGCTTCTAGTCAAGTATTCAAGCACATGTGTAATGAACTGAAGTAGTTATGAGTTTATATAAAATTAAAAATCAGTTGTGTTGAAAGAAGAAGCCTCAAGAGCATTTCTCCTGCTCCATTTTTGATACTTACTATAAAAGTCCAGTATCTACCATGCAGTACATGGGAAGACTGCCACCCTAACATGG